AGAGAACTGAGTTAGGATCTTCTAGGACGACTGATCGAACATCTGATGGGTGACCTACCATGGTGAATACGACGTCACAGCATCGAGCGACTTCAGCCGGAGAATCAGCAACATGGGCACCTTGGGATTGCAGAGGCAGAGCCTTGGATGGGTTGCGAGCGTAGATAGTAACGGAGTAGCCGGCGGAGAGAAGGCGAGAGGCCATAGCAGCACCCATAACGCCAATACCTATCCACCCGATTCGGGTTTGGGTCGGATTTATGGGGTTCGGGTATGGAGTTCCCATAGGCTGTGGAAGAGACGAAGACGATGGATTGACAGGGAAGAGTAGGGTGACGGCTTGGAGTTCACTGATCAAAAAGGCAGAACGGAACGGAATATACAGTAACTACTGATAAGGAAGCAAGGAACTAAAAATATTTAATAATTAATACCTTTACTATTTTTAATATAAGGACCTAATTATTAAGTTAATCTTAATCATAAATATAAAATCTATTTTTTATATTTATTAATTTTTTAAATTATTTTTATTGATATTTCTCAATTATAATCAAGTAGGAGAAGGATAAATGATATTAAGGAAGATGATTATAATGTTTTGAGAAAAATATCTTTTTTTTATAATTAACTAACTTAACCTACTTCTTTAATTTAATCAAATTAGTTAAATAGATCTTAAAGACTAGAGGAGTATAATGTGTGCATTTTATGAGTTATCATAGTTTCTTTAATATTTTATGATAATGTAACAATTTAATTTAAATTGCTTTTGAAAATAGAATATATTTCTAGCTTCTTGCATGCATATTTCATATTGGTAAAACATTCAACGTCTACCTATATAGGAAATTTTACATCTATAATCCGTATAGTTTATTTCAAACTCAGCTGCATTGTGATTTTTTGATAAATATATGGAATTTAATCTTTCAACTTATATACACACACATATATATATTCTCTTTGTTAAATTTATTTTAGAGAAAATAAAAGTATAAAGTCAAAGTATGGAATACAAACAACACTTGAGTGCCTTCATTTCTTCTTCTAAATTGATGTGGTTAACTTGCTAGTAGCTAAAATAAATTAACTGCATAACTGGGGTTTAATTTTTTTATTATTATAGTTATTTAATGCATCTCTTTTAGGTTTATTGTATAAGATTGAGGAAAATTCACTATAAAATAAAATATTAAAGAACTGTAAAATAAAACAAGATGATTTAAAGTCAAAGTGACATAACCTAAAGTAATGATAATTCATACGTGACTTTTTAGAAAAGTTAAAGATAGTCATAAGACAAAAGACATGTGTGAAGTAAATTAACATATATTTACTCAGAGCTCTAATAATTCAAAGTTTGGATTTGGCCCAATACCTTAGAGCTACAATTGATGTCACTATGCAACAAAAAATGTTCTCAGCAATATTTGCTTTTGACTCCAGCTACTAAATAATAAGTACAACTTGTTGATTTTTACTTTTTATTATTTTATTTATTTTCTTGGGAAGGTTGTAATTATGGTTATATCATGAGAATTTTGTGACAAAAGCCATTTCCCAATACAACACTACTATTTAGATGGAAGAAAGATGCCCAAATTGTAACTCCAGATTTTATCACACAAAACACAGCACATAGTTGCATTTTGAAACTTCTCTCCTTCTTTCCTTCGTTTCATTATTATATCATCACAACCCCACCAAAGTCCTAACAATTTATCTGTACCTCATCTCACAATGGATTCTCTTCTTTCTGAATTTTCATCTCTTTCTTCAAACTTGTCTGCAGTACTACTTCAAGGTTTAGTAACTCCGACACAAACCTTAGTAGCCATGTTTATTCTCATCATAGTACTATTTTTTTTGAAGTTAAGGTCAAGAAATGTCTACCTTGTTGACTTTGCCTGTTTTCTGCCACCAAACAACCTACGAGTTCCTCCTTCCAACTTCATAGAACACTCTGAGATCTGCGGTATCACCAGAGAAGCCATTGATTTTGAGTCCAAAGTGTTTGAAAGATCTGGGATTGGACCTGAAGCTTGCATGCCTGATTCAGTTCATGAGATCCCACCTAATGAATCACTCAAGAATTCTCAAGAAGAGATTGAACTAGTCCTCTTCACTATAGTCCAAGACCTTCTTAACAAACACAAAGTCCATCCTAAGAACATAGACATCCTAGTATCAAACTGTAGCCTGTTCTGTCCCACACCTTCCATAACTTCCATGATCATCAACAAGTTTGGTTTCAGAAGCAATATAAAGAGTGTGAGCCTCAGTGGTATGGGATGCAGTGCTGGTATGTTATCAATAAGCTTAGCTAAAGATCTTCTTAAAGTCCATAAAAATTCTTTAGCTTTAGTTCTAAGTATGGAAGTCGTAGCTCCAAATGGTTATAGAGGTACTACCAAATCCAAGCTTATTCCCAATGTGTTGTTCAGAATGGGAGGAGCTGTCATTTTACTATCTAATAAGAAAGAAGACAAGAAAATGGCCAAATATGAGTTAAAGCACCTTGTGAGGACTCATTTAGGATCAAATGATAATGCCTATAAGTGTGTTTACCAAGAGCCTGATGAAGCTGGACATGTGGGAGTGTCCTTATCAAGGGCACTTCTAAAAATGGCTGCGCTAGCTTTGAGGACAAACATCACAACTTTAGGCCCTCTTGTGTTGCCTTACTCCGAGCAGATTCAATTCGCGTGGTCAGTGATTCGTCGGAGAATCCAATGGGGAGATGACAACCAGAAGGCAGCATATGTGCCAAATTTCAAGAAGTCATTTGCGCACTTTTGCATACATGCAGGGGGCAAGGGGGTGATAGATGCAATAGAGGAGAGTTTGAAGCTGAAGAAGGAAGATGTGGAGGCTTCAAGAATGACATTGTACAGATTTGGTAACACTTCATCTTCTTCACTTTGGTATGAACTGTGTTATTTGGAGGCAAAAGGAAAGGTGAAGAAAGGAGATAGGGTTTGGCAAATTGCATTTGGAAGTGGCTTCAAATGTAACAGTGCAGTGTGGAAATGCATATTTGATATTGACCCAACTCAGAAAAATGCTTGGTCTGATATGATCCATTTGTATCCAATCCAGATACCTGAGTTTGACTCTTAAACAACAAGAAATTAACTATTTACTTGTGAGAAACATAGCTGCTGATTTATTTGTTTGTTTGTTTGTGGTGGTAGATACCAAACATAATAAAATTTGCCTTATGAATGCTTCACTTTTTTACCTGGTTTATTTAGTTCCAAACAGGCCGTTCATATTAACTTGTTTCCCCTCAGTTCTTGCCTTAGAAGGGGAAATTTGTTGTTAGCACATAGAAAATATGGTCTGCCTCCATGAATTAAACCAGCCCCTTATATATTGTGCCAAATTTTACTGCTTTTACCTTATGTGCGCTTGAGAAAATTTTTCCTCTTGACTCCTTCATTAATTTAAAATCACAAATTAATATATTTATTCTTTTTTTTGTCAAAAAATTAATATATTTATACACACTAATGTGGTACTTTCTTTTGAGATATGCCCACTCAATAACTAGAACAAAAAATGAGGAGAATTTTTTTTGTGAAAATAAGTTTATTTCTATTGGATAAACGAAACTTAGTATTTTGAAAACATCTATTATCTCTTTATAATACTAACTCCTCCTATCCTAAATATAAGATTGAACCCATAATGCAAGACTAAATTTTATATTTAGTACTAGAGGAAGTATTTGATGGTTCCCAAGTTTGGAATTTTTTTCTTTTTTCTTTTTTTCCTAAAATAATGGCATTGATCCTGTCACTTATCTATCATACTTTCCTAATATTTTCTTCTTTTTCCCCAACTTTTTGTCACTTTCCTTGCTATTTTTTTATTGTATTATTTTTTCAAATATTAATAATCACAAGATTTTAAATATTCAAATACAGCTACAAAAAAACATAAAATAGTCAAAATTCATATTTTTATATTATTAAAAAATAGATGTGAATAAATTTCCAATTTGCCATTAAATTTTCGAAGGCTTTTGAGATTTTATGAGTTTTTTTAATTTTCGTTACGTAGTTAGGTCAATTATAATTTCACATCTTTATAAATAAACTATAACAACATAATCCCTTCCTATTTTTAGGCATAAAGCGGTCCAATTCACTCCCATCAAAATGTCTATTAAATTAGGAAAATATTTTTTGAATTTTATACTTTCGTTTAAATAATATTCCTACATCCAATTTAGTTAAATAAATAAATAAATACTTATTATTTTGGCAAAAAAGTAAATACTTGTTATGAAAAAAATTTCACTCCAAATTTGCTTTCTATTTAAATTTTTTTACCAAAATTTAAATAAAAAAATTACAATATTAATGACAAAATGGCACAAAATCTTTACCGTCTTATCTCAACTTATTATACCTCTTTCTTTTTCTTTTTTTTTTACCTTTAAAAAATTTCATTCATAAAATGATAGCGAGAATTTAATACCCATTGAAAAAGCAAAAATTCACAACAAAACAGAAAACTGTTTTAAAAAAATCAGTATTATAAATTGAATACCTTATAAGAATTCGAAATATCTCCGTAGCGTTATGATGAAAATTGCATCACTCACCCTTATTATATAAAGACAACAAATAAACAACAGTGAAAATTTCTTTTTTTTTTCCGAAGTATAAAATGTTGAAAAATAACAAATGAACCATAAAAAATTGAATTTTTTTATTCAAGTTAAAATTAATTAATTAATTAATTAACTCCCCTAATTGGCCAAATTAACTCCCCTAATTGAGGACCAAGAAACTACCACGAAATTAGGAAACTAACTAAAACATCAAATACTTGTCTTGGTCCTCGCGTCAGAAGTCAGTCAACTCCAAAGTCGTTCCTTCCCCCATCTCTCTCCTCACTCTCTCTCTCTCTCTCTCTCACTCTGCGTTGCTCTGTGCCTGCAATTTCTATTTTGATCTCGCACGCTCTCTCCTTCTCTCTTGCTTTGCTTTCAAGTAGATACTTATCTTGGCATGGAATTCCTAGAGTCATTGAATAAGGAGCAAATCCTGCAGATGCTCTCTGATACCTTCTGCGACCATTGTGAGGCTCGACTACATCAAAAAATTTCAAATCTCTGTAAAAGTAATCAAACTTGTCTTTTCCTCTACTTCTTTTAAAATGAATGGTTCTCATGGGTTTCGTTGTGTTCTGCTCATGAAGTTTTGTTTTCTTTATTATTGTTTCACTCTCTCTGTGTTTCTTCAACTTCTCCGTTCTGGTTCAAGGAGTTAAGTTTCCGGCTTTGTGTTTTTCACTTTTTTGCCGATCTTGTTGGGTACTTCTGTGTTTTTTTTCCTACTTGTTATGTATTTTGTGCGTTGATATTATAAAAGCACTTGATTCTAAATTTTATTTGAAATAATCTCAGGCAAAAGCCTTATCTGTTATCTTTGATGTTGTTCATAAATTTAGTATTTCGCTTGAACCCCAGGAAACCACTATGAAACCTCACATGCTGCTGATGATGATGACTACTATGGATCTTCTAGACATACATCCTACAAGTCCAGGAATGGTAATGCATTATTTGTTATCTTTTTTATTGATTGATGATTGATTAACTAGCTTCAACCATGTGCACTTACATGGGGATTTAGAATTTTTGTGAAAAATAATACAAAGATTAAAGTAAACAAATCAATTGATTTTTTTTGGGGGGGGTACACAGAAGTGAATAGTGAAGTATTTTTCATTATATGTTTATATAAATTTTATTTATTTATCTTTTCTTCTAAATGCAGGAAGGTACTATGAAACCCCTTATGCTGAGGATGATGATGATTATTATGTTTCCTCTACAGATGCATCCTACAAGTCTAGGAATGGTAATGTATTACTGTTGCCTTTCTACTGATAGACTAGCTTCAACCCTGTGCATTTGCATGGGGATTTGGAATTTTTAGGAAAAATAATACTAGGTTTAAAATAAGGAAATCAGTTGATAAAAAAATTGACAGTTACACAGAAGTGAATAGTGAAGTATTTTTCATTCTATGTTTATATAATATATATATATATATAGCTTTTCTTTTAAATGCAGGAAAGTATTATGAAACCCCTTTAGCTGAGGATGAAGATGGTTATTACGTTTCCTCTACAGATGCATCCCACAAGTCCAGGAATGGTAATGCATTACTGTTATCTTTCTATTGATAAACTAGCTTCAACTCTGTGCATTTATAATTTTTATGGAAAAAATAGAGTTTAAAATTGATCAAAAAAACAAATTGACAGTTACTGAAATGAATAATGAAATTTTTTTTTTATTCCATGTTTATATATTTATTTAGTGCTTCTTCTGAATGCAGGGAAGCACTATGAAACATCTTATGCTGATAATGATGACTATGCATATTCTAGAGATGCATACTTCCACTCCAGAAATGGTGATGCTTTGGTGTTTCATCATCGAAATCATAGAGAAGAAGAGGATAGTACAAGAAGCTATATCCAAAGGCATGAAACTCCCTGGTTGAGGAAGCATGATAATAGACTTGCTTTTGATTCCACACCTAGATATTTGAATCGCAAACGGCAATCTATAGTGCCATCTGATTTTGAGTTGCTACTAAGTGATGGAATCGGTGGAGCCTCATTGTTTGAATGCGGATTGTCTGAGGAGCAAAAGGAGCATATCAGGTTTTCACTGGTTGGCAGAAAAAAGAACTTTGTTTACATTGAAAGAATTGGTGGGAGGGACATAAATGTTCTCCAGGGACTTGAACTTCATAATCAAGTATTCAATCCTGAGGAGCAAAGGAATATTATCAAGTATGTCGATAAATTGCAAGAGATGGGTCAAAAAGGGCAGTTTAAAGGTATATGGATTGAACTTCTGCCTTCCTATTCTTTTCCAGTTCTCTAATTCAGTGATTCTGCGTTTAACTATTTCATATGCTCGGAAATGTACTTTCTCTGCATTTTTTCTGCAGCTCTAATCTTTGTTGTTTTTCCCCATTATGCTTATGGCTACTTTTGGCACATCTTTAGAACTTACTTTGAAAGAACTTGTATAGCCTTGTCTATGGAGTAGTTATACTTCGTTACATGCAGTAAGCTATGTGTCTTCTGCTTAGAATTGACACAGATTATAAACACAGCCTATAAAAACAATTAGGGAGGGGTTATATCCTGTTCAATAAAATCAACAGCATTGGGTTTTGTTTCTCACAAATATACCAAGAATGAAGAGACAGATAACGCTTGGTATTTTGAGTTAATCTAGAAAAACTGAGTCACCATCTTTAATGAAAATTATCATAAAACACTTAAACTAACTGAATTTTTCCCCTTTTCGCAAGTTGTGCACTTCCTAAGCTAGTAAATAGAAGGCTCTTCTATTTTATTGTATTTCTTTGGGTGTCTTTTAAGTTTCAGAAGATTTTGTTCTCACACTTTTATTATTTGGGTTTTTCTATTTTTAGAATGTACATATTCAGAACCTAGAAAGTGGATGCGTGGCAAAGGGCGTGTAACAATACAATTTGGTTGTTGTTACAATTATGCAATAGTAAGTTTAAATTTGCTTCCCCTTTATTCTTTAATCTTTGGTTATGAGTTGTTTTTTCAAGTTTAACCTATTAGCTTCATGTTAAATCCTGCAGGACAGAGATGGCAATCCTCCTGGCATTCTAAGAAAAAAAGAGGCTGATCCATTACCAAATTTGTTCAAGAAAATGATCAAGAGGATGGTTAGGTGGCACATACTGCCTCCAACATGCATCCCTAATAGTTGCGTTGTCAACATATATGATGAAGGCGATTGCATTCCTCCTCATATTGATCATCATGATTTTGTGCGACCTTTTTCAACAGTTTCATTCTTATCTGAGTGTGACATATTATTTGGTTCAAATCTAAAAGTTGTTAGTCCTGGGGAGTTCCAAGGGCCTGTTCGTATCTCTTTGCCCGTTGGGTAAGCTCGATTTCCTTCTTGACAAAACCTGAGAAAAATATAGGTAGATGGATTTATGAGCATTTCAATTTAGTGGGACCTATTTTTGACATTCTTACAAAACTATCCATGAGTGGTTGGTCAACCTAAGATTTTCTCTTCCTCCATTCTCTTCCAATGCTCTTCCCTTGTCAAAAAATCTTGGAATCATATTTGGCATTCTTGGATTTTAAACTTGTTAGCTAGAACAAGTTAGAACATTCATATGCTTGTGTCATGTTATAAGTAGATTTGTGTGAATCATGCTTTTTGGTCAATTCTTGTTTAACATTTAGAGATTTTAATGCTTATCTTCATAATGCAGATCAGTGTTTATTTTCAATGGTAATGGAGCTGACGTTGCTAAACATTGTATCCCATCTGTCCCAACCAAAAGGTAATGTGAATTTTTCCCAAAAAAAATACATATTTGTGAAAAATTCTCAGATAAATTGGCTTGTAAAAGTTGGGCGGAGCAAGCCCAATCATGTACTGATATGTAAACATGTAAACTTTTTTTTACCTGGTTTACCTATCTTCTGTCGGGTGTACTTTAGAAAATCTCAATTATTACTATTTATTGTATTTTGAGACTTTTCCTTTTTGCAGGATTTCAATCACATTTAGAAGGATGGATGATAGTAAACTACCATCTAACTTCTCACCTGATCCTGAGTTGGAGAGCATCAAGCCTCTTGACCTTTCTTCTTCAAATAAAACAGAGATTGAGTATTCAGAGAATAAGAAACACAAGACAAATAGTGTTTGAATCTAATGCAGCAAGGCAAAGGTTACAGTTGAACAGATTGAGTTTACAAATTTATTGTTAATTATGTAGTTATATAATTTTGAGTGTTTTGTATAGTCGATGAGTTTGCTCAGATTTTGAGAGGTTGATATGCAATATTTATTGCAAACGACAGTGTTTATATCAATAATGTGACCTCCATCTTTGAATTTTTTGTAAGGAGGAAAACTCTTGATTCTGTCTGTTTCATATCTAGTCTCGAGCCAATATAAAAAATAAATTTTGCTTTAGTTCCTTAACAATTAATGGAAAATTATGTGAATTTCTTATGAACATGGGTGCAGAGAATAACTTATTATTACTATAAAGCATTCTAGTGCAGAATCCCACAAACTCCATGTTTATATACATATATACTCTCTTTTCCCGTCCCTTGTTATAAGATTCACTTAATTATATTATGTGATTTAAAAAAACTGTTAAAATTAATTAAAATAATAAATATGTTGGAAATGTATCTTTTTTTTTTTCAAATATACCCTTATTTATAAATGAGCAAGTGTGAGTGAGAAAAAGTGTGAGTGAGAAAAAAATAGGAGAGAATGTATGGGAAAAAGTTAATGAAAGAAAATATATTAATTAAGAGTAAAGCGAGTAAAAATGCATTCCTAAAAGAGATCTTATAAAAAAAACAAACCAATTCAAGAAATTGAATCTTCTAATAAGAGATGGAAGGAGTACATAAATATAGGCACAGTATAATTTTTAATTCTTAAAATTTGACATCATTTTTATTATAGTTCTAAAATTTGAAACTAGTATTTTTCCCCTTAAAATTTGAAATTATATTTAGTAACTAATGTTCATAGACAAAGCAAAAAATACTGATTTCAAATTCACCAAAATCAAGTTAAATCTAGATGGTACTAATTTGACATCATTTTGATTCTAGTTTAAAATTTGATATCAAAAACTACCGAAATTTACCAAAATCAAGTAAAATTTAGATGGTATTATCCCTATACACTACTTCCGGTCCTAATTATAAAAACTAGTTGACTAATTTAATGAGATTAAAGAAATAAATTAAGTTAGTTATTTGTAATAAATAGATGTTATATTTTCTAAAATATCCTTACTAATCAAGTGTATTGATTAAAACTACTATTATTAGAATAACTATCTTAAAAAATATATATAAATATAAGAAATAAAATAGATTGGGGTATTATATTTAAAATCAAAATAAAAATCAAATAATGTCTTATATTAAAAACTAGATATAGTATTTATTATATTTCAACATTGAAATGTGATCTTAAAAGTAAACAAAGGTAACATGAGACCACATTGCCCTGCACACTAGGAGAGAGATATATCGTAACCCCAGGGGGATTGATCGATGGAAAGACTTTTCCTACGCCCAATCGAATTCTTGGCTTTTCCAAAAACAATGTTTGCTTTTATCCTACCAAATAGGCTTTTAATCAATGGATTGATCCATGGAAAGAGGCTTCCATGTAGTACCCAAAAGAAGTTTATTAGTTCCCTTGTAATATGCCTTTACCTTGCCCAGCTTTTATGCTACCAAACAGGCCGCATAATTACAATCAAGTAACTACAATCAAATAATTTGAAAATTAAACAATAATCTTTCAGATCGAAATTCCACTTTACTTTTAATTTTAGTCAAGAAAGAAGGCATTATGTTCATCTGAAACAAAAAACAGAGAACAAGGAAGGCACCCATTTGGCAAATCAAAAGAAGAAAGAGTAAATTAAACATGCTTTTTCATCAGTTCAATAGTTCAATCAGATCAGTAGGGAATGTTCAAAAGTAAGCTTCCTGAAATCCTAAAAGCCTTGGTATATATCAGATCTACCCAGAATCAAATCAGAATGATCTTTAATCAGTTCAATACCAGGACTTTATATCAGATCTGCCCAAAACAAATGAATTTTCCTGCTTCGTGAACACTAGTTCTTCAAATTTTCATTTGTTCTTCTTCAACTTGGGTACATTTCTAGATTATGCATATAAAATCTGAAAATAAATCAATAATTTATTGTGGTTACACATTTGATCAGCACATTTTCAGGCTAAGAAGGATGAACCTTGCCAGAAGAAAGTCCTTTCCAAGCCGATTTCATGGAAGAAGTAGCAGAACTCAGAGCAGCTTCAATATACCTTTTGGAAGCAACAGAAGCAGCTTTTTCCATTAACCTACCCATTTTTCTAGCACTCTCAGCAGTCTGAACAAGGCTATCAAGTTCAGATTTTTCCATCCTCTCAAGCTCAAGTTCAAAGCTTCTGAACTCATCCATGGCAGATTCCATCACTGAGTCGAGATAGTCCTCAGCTTTCTGCAGAGCATCCTCTGCTTCTTCTTCCTCTTTCTCTTGCTCAAGCTCCATGGCTGCCCAGGCCTTGTACGACTCAATCTCAAAGAGCTTCATTAGGTCTTCTATGGTGGATGGATCAAAGTTCTTGTCTTCTAAAGCTTGGTCTGAGAGGAAGGTGAATTGGGAGAGAAGAGCTTCCATGTTTCTTCTTAATCTCTCTCTTGCTTTTTCTGCGTGTTTGTGTGTTCTTGAGAATTGGAGAAGAAGATCTGAGTGGGTTTAGTGGAAGCAAAAGTGGGTGAGGAATTAATCATATAAAGGCTGAGGTTCTTTTTTTTTTTTTTTTTAGTTTTTTGACGTTTTATGGAGTACAGTTAAGGTGAATGGAGATAAATATATGTTGGACTATTAGACCAGATCTACAAAGTATAAATTATAAATTAATGTGGGTTTTTTAATTTTAATTTTAGTTTATGACAAAAAATAGAGAATTTTCATTTTATGGAAATGCAACATATGAAATATTTTTTTTATTTCTTTTTCTTTGTTGCGTCCATGAGTTAATGGGGATTGTGGCCTGGCTTCATGATATGTGATTCCAAGTCAAAAATTGAATTTTATCTGAACTGTGACTTAGATACTATAAAAATTATTAGGAATATTAGCTCATTTTTAACACTTTTTATTATTTGCTTGGATAATTATACTTTGAATATAACTACTAATATACTACATTCGTTCTTTAATATAAGAGATAGTTTGATATTTAATTTAGTATTAAACTTAAGATTTCAATTCACCTTATTTCTCATATTTATCAATTTTTTAAGTAGTCCTTATAGCAGTTACATAAAATTTTTTATTAAATAGTAGTTTTAACTAATACATATGATTAATAAGAGTATCTTAGTAAAAACAATACATATTTATTATAAATAATTAATTTAATTAATTTTTTTAATATATTCAAATTAATCAATTAGTTTTTATATTAAAAACTGGATGCAGTATATAATAATTAAAAAAATTAAAATCATTGAAAGGAAAGGTGGGATGGGGACAAAGAGCCGTTGGTGCATCTATTTCTTCTGGGGCTGGGAGGGAAAAAATTTGTTTGTATAAAATATTGATTGTACAAGGAGGAGATAAGGTAAAAGGGGTAGCTTTGTGATGTCTAAAAATCATAGACCATTAGACTTAGATAGGGAATCTCAATCATAGTGGAAAAGTGGGGTCCATTTCTTTGAAATTTTGGTACTCACAAGCAACCAATCCAATACATGAGATGAGTGAATTTGTGAACTTCCTTGTGTCTTATGGTGAAAGTGCAAGAGGTTTTGCTATTCACATTCTCATCAATTTCTTGCTCCTTAGGTTTTGCAAACAAAATTGTACCTTTCAAATTCGTTCGCCACAACTACTTGACTAATGACCGTTGTGTTTTGCTTGGCCAAATGGATAACTCTTGCTGTCTCACTATGTGTTTTTCTTTATACAATACAATTAAATACAAAATACTCAGAATCTCATCTAAGACTGACAGGTGGTGTTATTATTGGAATAATTAGCCGTAAAAATTAACCATATATTTGGTTTTGTGATTTTTGTCACAAGTATTTGAGTTATTACTCTTTTTTTCAAAATATTTGAATTATAACTAATAAGATTTTTTTAAAGAATTTTTGTAAAAATTAAAAAAAAAAAGTGAAATGAATAGTGAATTTCTTAATTTCACTTAAATATTGGGTGAGGACTTTTAAATCTCCACGAAAAACAATTTACATGAGTCATCTTCTAATACTACTACCGGTTATTATTAATATAAAAACTAGTTGAAATGTTAAACTTAATCTTAAATATAATACTCTAATTTACTTTCTCCCCCATATACAATTTTCCCCCGAAGTATCTAAATTTATTGTACATATTAAGGGGGTTTTCAACTAAGAGATAATTACAATATGCATGATTAGAAATGGGAGTTTAGAAAAGACAACATACACTTGTTACAAAATAACCAACTTAGCTAATTTTTTTAATATTTATAAGTTATTTATCTATCTTTGATATTTATTAGTATTCTAATATTCTAATATTCTAATGTGACTTTTGAATAATAAAGTATTTGATTTAATAAAATACTGCATTATTGCTGATGAGTTATTTTATAGAAGAATAATGCACATATAATTGCAAAAACAAATAAGAAACAAATGGTTTATAACATTTTTCGCTTCCTTTTTATTTTTTTAGTTATCGCTTAAGATACTTGAAATTCAAAAACATTTTCAACAGAACAATAACAGACAAACAAGCTTCGGCCCAGCATGTAATGGCCAGCCCAAAAGGGCCTTTGAGGCTTTTGGGATCGAGAGGAAATCTTTTGGTGGCAAAGATCAAGAATTCTATGTTTTGGTGCAAGTCAAAATTTAAAATTTTTCCACTCAGAAACTATTTGTTTTTATTAAATAAAATTCGGCGTAAAACCAGTGAAATTTGGAATAAATATAAAAAGCCTTAATTTCAAGGAAAAAATAATATCAAAATAATTCTTTTAAAAATGTATTTTATTAAAAACTAAGACAGTCACATCTTAACTTAGGAGAGGTTTATATGATTTTCGTGATTGAAAAAAAAAATATTTAATTGGAGTGTTTCTTAAGAAAGAGAATAATAGTGCGTTCTATTAAATTCAAAGACGTAGTTGGATATGCGTGGATAGGCACTATAAGCAGTGGCTTCCAAAAAAAAAAAACAGTGCAAAAAATTAGAAAAAGATGGGCATTTAGGCATTATAGGCTACAATTCCACATTTTCAATGGTTATTACCCACACAAACGCATGCGTATCTATGTTATATGTATTTATATATGCATGGATATGTTTATACATTTGAGTATATTTTATTTTTTTTAATAAAAAAAGGCTATGAGAACCCCTACAATATCAAAACAAAAAACACACTTCACTGCCTCATAACATCTTAGGAAAGGATCCATAGTGGAGATAATAAGATGCTAATCACTACCTCCTCACCTTAAAAGCTAGTTGAAAAGTTGAATTTGGTTCTAAATATAAAACATCAATTTACTTTGTCTTCAAATTTATAACTTTTTGAAAAAATATTTCTATTAATTGTAATGTGTTTCCATCAAATAGTAGTTTTAATATACATGATTAAAAAGAGTAATTTATAAAAGTCATTACATATTTGTTATAATTAACTAACTTAACCAATTTTCTTAATCCATCACTGAGCACCTGGATCAACTGGTAAGAATTGTTCCAGCTTAACCAAAGTTCACAGGTTCGATCTTTTGAAAATACAATAGTGTAGGTGGTAGGGTCGCCACCCATATAGGTCCTATCATGGCCTGATCCAGATTAATATGATTTGTAATTCCTTGAGGAGTTTGGCCAGGATACCGGATGCATATGCAAAGAAAAAAAATCCTTAATGCTTCTAAATTATTTTATCTAGCTCTTATATTAAAATTCGAAAAAGTCAAAGAGATAATATCTAGCATCAATCTTGTGAGTCAACTGAGGTCTCTTGTATTATGATCTTAAAATCCCACACTAACGAATCCTAACACAAGGACACATGGGGGGGGGGCAGTGAAATTTTTTTGTAATGCTTTAGATACCATAACTTATAGTTAGAAGCACAAAAACACTGTAGAACATGGCCCGTAATAAGAATCAAATATCATAATGCATTGATTCTTTTAGTTTCATTGTCAACATTTTGGCCAACTCCTATATCCTTTTTGATGTGTATATGTATGTGCGCGTGCATTCTTATTTCAAAGCGATATGGAGTGCATTAGAATCAAAACAAAACTTGAAATAAAAATTTACTTGCATAAGCATTCATAAATTTTTGACTAATGACATCAATTGGATTAAGATTCATCGGTGATGTTAATATAAATATTTTATATCTGGATAGTTTATACAAAGAAAGTTAATAAAAACTTGTTTCAACTTTCAACATCATTTTGAAACCTTGCCATGGATACTCTTAAATTCTTATATCTGTGCAGATAATTCAAAATTTAGGAGAGTTTCGTGTAATATAATTATAAAAACTATGATCTGTGCTTCAGAAAATGAAAAATTATTTTGTAGGTACCTATATCTTCTTTTAATCTTAAACTCGGTACTAATACTTTTTTCTCTTCATTAAATCATTTAACTTCGCTTTATTAGTGATATTTTTTTTTGGTAAATAAAAGTTTAGATGAGTTAGATCCCGGGAGCTCATCAGGGTCAGGATATACCTCCAGGCCTAAAGAGAACTTTATTAGTGATATTTATCCCTGTAACCTAGTCCTGTTAGAATTATTAACTCCTCATACAAGAAGTAACAGAATAACGGAACTAACAGAGCAAAATCAAAGAATTTATTTTAGAAACCATATAGGTACTAAATTAAAAATTGAAAAAAAAATTATAGGTATTTGTAAAATTGTATTTTTCTTAAAAAAATCCAAACGGCTCACTGGGCTTTGCAAAAGCCAAACTGAAAAATTACCTTTTTATAACGCAGTGTGTAATTTGCATATTTTTAAAAAAATTCAATGATGTAGTACTCTATTTTATATTGTTAGGCAAGTGAGCTAATTTAGAAAATAGAAGATAACAAGCAATTGCAAATTGGTTGTGCCAAGCCATGAATAGGATTACAATAGATGCTGCTTTAACTGATTTCACAGAAATGGGGTACCTACCCATCATTATCTCAAAATTTTAATAATTATTCCTTTTTCGTGATTCTTACCTACTATATCCAATTCCATTTCTGACTTTTGCTTCCATTTGCAAGATTCCACATTATCCCAATATTTTCCCTCTTTTTTTTTTTTGCTACAATCTTTAAATTAGTGGACAGTATGATTTTGCAAGTTTTTTCAAGTTATTCACTCATCTTGCTTGTTTTACCCAAAAGACACGCCATATGGAATTCTTTTACTGTTGATTAATAGATGCACCTATATGTGAAAAGTATCAACAAGCTAATCCAAACAAGTAACTGATTTCTAAAATTATAATTTTTTTTTTTTGAAATAGCCTCTTGGAGATGTTAAAGGATGTGAATTAGAATTAATAATATATACTATAAAAATTCTGACAAAGTTATGCTACAAACATGATCTAGCTTGTTGATTTCATCAAAAGCCACAACAAGTGAAGTTTTCATAATATTAAATAAATTTACCAAATGAAAGTGATAATTAATTTTGAGGTCATTTCAGGTACCCTTTAGTGTGAAGG